ACTAGAAGATTACCTATTTAAGCTCTCTGATTATTAACTAACGAGAGTACGACTAGCCATACATGCAACTTTTGGTTACCTAATATGTACTTTTTAATTGGTATAGTATGACAATACTTATATACAAGATTTCATTGACATTGGTCATATAAGAAAGTGTTGGATAATTTTTTAATCTTTCAACCATATATATTTAAAAGTCACAAAAATCTTTTAAAATATTGTATCTATTAACTACTATAAGTAAAAAAAATAATGAATAAACATCTTTATTTTTATATAGAAAAGTTATTAATATATTGGATAATATTGTATTCCAATAATTACATTATAATCCAATTTATTAGAAATTTTTATTTTATCAACAATATGTTCCTATAAGAGTATTGTTTTTGACTAATAAATATTAATTAATTAATGATTAAAACTTGCTAATTATAGTCAATTACTGAAAAACTTACTTTTTTTACTTTTTCTACAATAGGAAATTTAGATTTGTCACTAGTTATTTTTTAATTTAGATTTGTTACTAGTTATTTTTCTAGCATTATTAACAATTGCATCTTTTGGTCTATTATTTTCTGTAACTAGGATTGAATTAATGATTTTAGCTACATCTATATCAGTATTTGTAAGAGTTGTTATAAATTTGGAATCTGATAAGAAAGAAAAAACTTTACATAGTGAATCATGTTGAGAAGCAATAGCTCTAATCTAGATATATATTAAAAAGATTGGCCAAAAAAAGAAAGATCACTTTTTGTTTAGTTTATAAGACTATAAGTAAAGTGAGCCTAATTATTATATAGTTAACAAAAATATCTCTGTGTAATTCCTGCTTTTTTCTTCAACATCATGTCTATCAAATTTTTGTAATTCATTTGTGAAGAAATTGGATGCAAAAAGACCTTTAGTGGTTTTAGTCTATATAGCAATAAGATAAGAAAATATTTTATGGTTATAGTAATAATATTTGTGATTTTTATATTGACTTTTTTGATTCTTTGGATGGTAGAATTGTTTGCATACTTTCTTGGATTTGTTTACAAAATAATATATAAGTAAACAACTACTATTTTAGTAAAAGATTTTTCTATGAATTATAACATATATGTACCTTTTTCTGGTCTTTTTTCTTTTGTAAGACAGAAGTGAAAATTTTACATTTAATAGTTCTAATTCTACTTCCCAAAATAGTTAAATATTAATTAAAGAGACATTTGCTTTACCTAACTTATGCTATTTATTACAGACTTTAGCAATTTTCTAATTATCACTCTAGTATAAAAAATTAAAAAATTAAAAATATGCTTAACTACAATTTATTATCTATCTACTAATTTTTTATCATACTGGATTAGCTAATAGCTTTGAACATCAGACAACCTAGTAAGCTACCTATGCTTTAGTGAGATTAGCACTGGAATAGCCAATAGCTTTGAACAACAAGCAACTTAGTAAACTACTTGTGCTTTAGTATTGATTTTGTAACTTAGCCAATAACTTTGAATAACAATAATCTAGTAGACCTCTATCTTATTACTTTTTTCTATTTAAATTTTAGTAAAAAATTTTACTTTTCTCTTTATAGCTATCAAGAAGAACTCATATTCTTTTATTTTAAGTGTTTTATTTATAGTTAAAAATAGCTTTAAGAGATTTTATATAAAAATTAATTTTTAAATTGAATAGTTTAATGTCCAATTTGCTAAGAAACTTTAAGATACTTTATTTAGAAAAAGTACAATTGAAATAATTATTTTCTGATATAAAATTGAAAAGCAGTAAAAAGTTATTATTGTTTATAGACATTAACAAAAAAAACTCAATTATATATATATATAAATCAAGTCAAAATGATTATTAGAGTCATTAGCTTATATATATTAATAATTTTATAAGTATGTGATAAAACGCTATTGCTATAGCTTGACAATATCTAGATATTATACAAAAAATGCATGGCAGAATCTTGATTTTGATTGGCTAAAAAAATTAAGCCAGAATTACTCATAATTTTACTAATAAAATTAATTAATTTTGATTACTAGGGCTTACTTAGTCTAATTGCACTATTAACTTGGTATATTTAAGATATGCTATAAAATTATATATACAAATTATAAAATAAATTATTATAATACAACAAATAGCTAAAATCATATAATAAAGTATCAATAACTAATTACTATACATCTGTGATTGATTTAAAACAAAATACTACTCTGATACTTGTACTGTATATCAAGCAGCTAATATAAAAAATAAAATAAAATAATAAATTATTTAACTAATAGCTAATTTATTAAGATTGTTATAAAGATCTTCTAAATTTGTTAAAATAATATTATGTTTTGAATTTAGCACTGCATTGTATATACAGTATTATATATAAATCCAGATTTTTATTTTTTCTTCTTACTATTCTCATAAATTCTAAGACAACTAACAAAAATTTGACCAAAATTAATTTGGCTAAATTCAATAAGCTTTTGATCTTAAGTATATTTTGGTGCTACAATATAAGTCATTACACAATATATATATATTATTAATATCTTATTGTATATAAAAAAATACTAAAGACCTTAAATATTAAAAAAAAAATAAAAAATACTAAAGGGGGTGTGATGACTTATTATATGTTTAATTAACTTCCTTGTAAATTATGTCATCTAGTTAAGTGATCTTCAATCCGGGTAGCCCGTCATAGGAGGACATTCGTCTGATTGGCTGATGTAAATCAATTACCCGGGTAACTTATTTATACACTTTAAAGTACTTTTTAAGAACTCAACGTTTCACTAATAAAAAATACGA